GGGGAAAAAACCCCCCCCCCCCCCAGTGATAGATTTAAGCTTTAGTTTACAATAGTGAGCATAAAACATGCAGTAATTGTGAATGTTCAGTGTATCTATAAACAGTCCCAAATCACTTAATAAGTTGATTTTTTTAAGCTGGTCAACCTCTTTGCATGCTTTTTATAAACAAAATCAAATAAACATAAAAACTTAATTTTTTTGTCTTTTTATTCCACAGTTTTATGGGTCTCACTGTAATTATGCTCATTTTATTGTTTCGCAAAGCAAAACTGTAGTTTTAACTATAAGGGTTGTTAATTGTGTTTAAATTTAATTGTGTTTAAATTGTGTTTTCGTTTCGTTTTTATTTTTGTCTAAAAACTATGGTTTTTAAACGAAAAGCAGTCGTTTTTGAAAACGATCGTGTTTTAAAACCGATTATTTGTTTTAAAATCGATCGTTTTAAAAAAATATTATTACAATTAATTTCAATTTTTTATAAGATTATAAGATTATAAATTTTGTGTTTAATGTTTTTTTTTTATCGAAACAAACAACCTGAATATTTTCTGAACTCGGATTTTTCGACCAAATTTTTCTAAAAGAAAATTAAAAGTTCATAATTTTGATTGTTAAAGTAAAAGTTAATGTAACAAAAAGTGACTTCTAAGATTATGTTTTGTAATAATTAAAGTGGCTGTAAAGGAAAAATGAAAGGGGGTATAGGCTGAAAGCTAATCACTTTAGCTCTCGATCTGATGTTATATCTGATGTTCCTATCTCGAGAAATTGATATACAACTGTGTCAAATTTATACGAAAATTAATATATATAGAATTGTGTATAAAAGTAGAGGGTTTAAATAGATCAAATTCAGCAAATTTATGCAACCAATCTGAAAACTATGATATTCCAGAGAAAGCTAATTGTAACTTAGGTTTACTCCAATTCTAATTTTATATTTGTTATTTCTATTTTTAATAGATTTAATTCATAATATTAATTATACTTCCGTATTACTTGACCAGAAAATCCACCAATGGCATTGCAGTAAAGTGGTCACGTGATACAGGCGGAGACACGTGATCAGTATACTGCTCTGCCATTGGTGAAAATTCTGGTCACGTGATTTAAGTTTAAGATTTTCTAAATTTTACATATATGAACTTTCGTATAATTGCAACACAGTTTTAAATCAATTTCTCGTGACAGGAACATCAGATAAAATTTGCATGGGTCGCGATCAAGAGTTAAAGTAATTAGCTTTCAGCAGCTATACCCCCTTTCATTTTTCCTTTACAGTCCCTTTAATTGTGTAATTTACATAAATTTTCCTTTATTATTCATGAAAGGAAAAAATGTACATAAATTGAATTTATAAAAAACTTAATTTTACTTTGAAAAAAATAATTTGATTTAATTTGATATCGTGATACATTGTTATAATTTAAAAAATATATGAGAAAAAAATGTTGTGCCGTTTAAAAAATTTGAAGCCAAACTTTATAAAACCTTTAACCCTCGATCCTTTCATTATAAAAGACAATTTGTTTTATCAAGTAACATGATTTTTACAAAAAATGTAAAAAAAAGTCTTCTTCATGAGAAGGGCAGATATGTTCAAAAACCTATAGAATAAAAACATGAAAATTTTTATCTTCAGTTATGGTCAATGTGTAAAAGGTAAAAAAGCTGTATTGTTTTTAAATTTTTTTTTCAGTTTTCAATAGTATCATTTACCATTGCCCCCCCAACAGTGTTGTCTTAAATATGTAAATAATATGCTACATGTATATTAAACTTATTTTTAAGTAAACAATTAAAAATAAACAAATGTAATCTCCTAGACTGTACAAATACCGAGATTCGTATGTACTGCATATATCTATAGTACACACCTTTGGTACTGTAAACTTACACACAAATATTCAAATGTTGTACCTAAATCTGCAGAAAAAGGAAAATTCACCAACTTAAGAACCGTTTCAAGGCCTGCTCATTTAATAAATTAGACCTCTAACTTTCGCTGTTTCGGGGGCAAGGGAAGATTTTAAAAAAGTTCAAAAAGTACGTCGGAAAATGTTCAAAATAATTGTTTTTAATTTTGACCAATAAATAAATTTCAGCATTTCTAATTTTTTGAAACACCGACCCGCCGTTTGACTATATCCTCCATGTAACTACCCTATGCATAAAAAAGCAACTATGGTGTTTAAAAAATTGAAAAAGTTTAAGAAGCGTTCTAATGTAAGCCGTTTTTAATTTATTTAGAAAAAAAAAACACAGAAGGGGTGGTGAAAAAACACCCCCCCCCCCC